AACATGAATAGACTTCTAATGAAATAAAATTAAAGTACCAAAATTGTAGGGAAAATGTTTAATCAAATTTGCAAAAGGAATAGATGTTTAGTCTATGACATTTAAAAACGAGGCGTCTAATTCAAAATGTCTCTTAAGTTTATTACAAAAAAACTCAATGATATTAGAACTAAAACTCTCACATAAATTTCATATTATTTTTTGTATTCTTTAGCAATACTCAGTGTCTTTTATTTGAATGGGTCCTTAAATCGAAGCACAATCAAAACGAAATCGTAGTTGCTTAAAAAATCCTATTTGTGGTACTATGGATGTTGGGAAACAAGTAAAATAGAGGCAAAGAAATGAAGAGTTAGATAGAGGCCGGCCATCCCACCTTGCCCTAATCACCTTTTTTTTTTTCACTTTCAAAGGAAATGACTCCACTTCCCCACCTTCTTCCAATGGCATGTGCATGAGTGATGGCGTGGGCAGACCACTTTAGTGTGGTTGTCATCCGTACGAGTGACCTTTAGAAAGAGAAAAATAAGACTGAAAAAGCAAATGGTATTTCACTGTAGAATCTGTATTGATCGAGAATTTGAGATTGGGATCTCTCTTTACCAGACATGCATCATGACCCTTGTATCATGGATTGTCTCACCTATTTAGGGCACAAATGTACTTTTCCACTCTGTCTCTCTCCCCGCCTGTCTTGCATTCATGTATTTTCCAGTCTCCCTCTTGTCACTCATGTTCTTTGTAACCTAGCTACCAGAGCCGGCGCTGTGGGTAGTCGGAGTAGAGGTCCGCCTAAGATCCTCAATTTTTAGGCGGAGTTAGGCAGGTTTGGACAAAGATTGGGGGGGGGGGGAGCTATGCAAGCTTATATGTAAACGCTGAAATCTGAAAATCTTTTATTGTAGGTCAGCCTCGTGCGAGGAAGAAGACAATCATATTCCTAACACCATTTTAATTCCAAGATTTTACTTAAGATGGTCCCACCATCTTTTTTTATAGCCCTTTTAAATAGTCTTCACTATCTTAGTTTAACTTTTTTGCTTCTCTCTTAAATATCATCTTTATGTTTATTTTTATGAAATTTTATTACCCTATTTTAATCACACCACATATATCTTTATTATGTACTTAAAAGGCTAAAACTCTCATCTTTTTGAAAAATGACATTATTTAATGTTCAAATTAATTAGTTTATATAATATATAATAAATTATTCAAATCCGTCTTGTCCGCCTAGGCACATATACGAAAATTACTATCCTCTTCACTCTAGTATTTTCCCTAGCTGTAAGATGTTGTCTCTGTAATCCAACAATTCATTCATTTATTGAATGTAATAAGTAACATTGTAACAATAGAAAAATGATTAGAATTTGGCGTATTGGGTAGAGACTTCTCTTTTGGTTTGAATTGGTTGAAAAATTAGATTATGTAAACTTAATAAGTGCATTTGCATCTAAAAACGCGAGACATGTAATATTTGAGAAATGTTTGTATATTTTTCTTTTTTTATATATTAATTTTAAATGATATTTGATTAGAGATAGACTTTTTATGTATTTACTGAATTTTTTTTACATATGTCAATGTACAAAAGGTCCGGAGTCAGAGAACTCTAGGGCCCCAAAGCTCGCCTAGGACTCCCAGATTTCGAGGGCCGGCCCTGCTAGCTAATTTCCAATCCACGCACAAATGTATTTTATACCCAAGAATTTCACCTGTTTATAATCAGATGAATCTCATTGTAAGTTTCATGTATATAGGTTTTTCAAAGAAAAATGTTTTCGGCCTAAACTGCAAACCACTATTAATTTTCATTGTGAACTTTTATTTTGCCTACTAGAATTTTAGCCTATTCGGATGCTTAAATTTCACTTCATACTACGATAAAGAAAATTATCTCACCCTTATATAAATTTATGGCTCCACCTTTGATTATAGTTAATAGAACATCGTCCGGACGTTGCCATTAGGATAACAAAGTTAATGTTCTCGTTGTGAACATTTTATTACGTAGTCAAAATATGTTATACGGTTGTGATTACATTATAAAAATATCGTTGAAATTATAAGGCATCGTAAACTAACCTTTTGCAAACCTATTTCGCAAATTTCAGTTTCGAAAATCGTTCTCGGTTAAACTACCATATGCATTCTTATAATCTTAGAAATGCAATTTTATTTGTAGCCTTCGTTTTTACGTTTTCTAAGGGTTTTGTGAAAGTTACTGTCAGGCCCTTATATAATTCATGAGCGAGTTTCTTATGGGCAGCCAATCTAAGGGTTTTGTGACAGTTCGATTAACTATTTCATGTAGACACGGAACTCAGGATCCCATCAGTAGTTTAACTATCAATATGATACTAACTAATGTGAATTTAGTTAAATATGGACGACGCAGATGAAAACGTAGAACTGAATAACATCGTTCTACACACCGGCGAAGACGTAGGGTGGGATAACAACGATCAACAGACCGACCAAAATGGTGGCGTGGCGGTGAGGAGGATAATAATGGTGAGGTGGATAACAACACACAACCACCCCTTCTTGTGATTCTGGTGGTGGATAACAGGTATGTCCCAAAGATTAACATGGAGTTCGACTCCGTTGAGAAAGTTGAAGAATTCTACGAAATGTATGCGAAGAAGGAAGGATTTGGCACGAGGAATGCCAGCACAAATTACAACACAGCATGAGAGTTGTCGAGGAAAGTATTTGTATGCTGTAGATGTGTGACATGAACTAATAATAATATAGTTAATTAATTAATTTATTTTTTTGGTTGTTGGAAGAATTAGTAAAGAGAAATTTCTTAAATACTATGTTACATTGTGAATGTTACGAGAATAAATATCTAAGATTGAAAATAGAAGATTTAAACCGTTGTGAAAATTAAATCAAATGGTTAAAACACCTATAGAATTAAATGTTTAGTAGCATTGAAGCCACACATGAGCACAAACTAAATAGGCGAAACTGAAGCATGATATAATGTGACAAAAAAAAAAACAATGCATGATACAATCCAAACTAGGAAAATAAGGAAAATATAAGACAACACTGATAGAGAAGTCACCAACCAGAGATGATGAAATCATCCGAGCATTTCTCCCATTTGAGAAGTGAAGTCATACATACATGTCCACCGGATTTGGACCAAAGAAGAGCTCAATCAATGTAAAAAGAGAAAGAAACATGTGGAACATGAGAAATCTTTTCACAATCTTCACCAATGTCACGCTGGCATCTGCTCTCTAGGTGAGGACAATCTGCAATCTGAACTTCTCTCAAGGCAGTAAGATGATGCATTCCCTCTGGCAGGGATAACAATTTCGGACAACTTTTGAGCACAAGTTTTCTAAGAGATGTGAAACTTGTCAACCACCAAGGTAATGTATCCAAGTTCTCACAATACCAAATACACAAGACTTGAAGGGTGTTAGCAGCTCCTCGAAACCATTCAGGCAATGCCACCATTCCTGGTACAAGTACAATAAACAGTTTTTGGAGCCTCAGTGGAATTACTTGAAAGTTTCCATTCGCCAAATCAAGTACAATAAACAGTTTTTGGAGCCTGATTAGCTTTAAGCTCATTTAACCTATCTCCTGAATTTCAAGACCTACTCTAAAGCGAAATGCAATTGGATTAGAACGTGAAAAGAAATGGCGTACCTTTCTGCTTGTTCCGTGAGATGTTTCCATGGCTTTATGTCTCAAAGCTTCGCAGTCAAACTCATCCAACAAATCCTCAGCATCAAGAAACACATCTTTAAGTGTCTTACCCAATTTTATATCTTCTTGCTATGTGCTTGTTTCTCTTCAGCATCCAAGATCACGTCTTGATGGTGAACATGGTGTGCTCAAGCTTTTGTAGGTCTGATTTGACGCCCCATGCCAAGGAAATCTCATTGTAAACAATAGAGCCTAGCTGATTTATCAGTTTAGAAACCAATTCAAAGACTAGTTCTGCCATTCTCTTGTTGAGGAAGTGAACTGGTTTATTGGTTGCTGTCCAAAGGTATGGATAAACTGATTGTGAATATGCCTTCACCTGTCCACTGTTCTTTTTTTTTTTTTTTTCCGAAGGAAATAGTCAACCGCGTGAAAGTTTCGCATATAATTTTTTCCGCCCATGTCATGAAGCAAACGTGATCCCCAAAGTTAGAGAAGGTCTTATTATATGCATTGTACCATTGGTAATAACAGAATGGCCGGCAGAAATAACAGTAGCTGACGAATGAAGTGGAGAATGGTGTTGTACAAGATAAATTAAACAATGGTGGGAAAAGAAGTACAAAACAATGCCATCTTTTGGATATGTACGATAATGGTGATGTACCAATATACAAAATGCTTCTATGGTAATTATTGGCAAGAAAAAGAAAACAACTAGCAGTCTAGCACCCGCTAAAACAAAAGTACAATTGGAGGTGAGAAAATAATTAGTTATCAGCTTTGTATTTGGCTGGTGAGAACATGTAAAGAGAGAAAGCAATGGATGTTTTGTAAAATTAATGGGATTGGAGGCCGGGAACTGGTTTATCTTGGTTCCATATTTCTTGGCTGGGTTCTATTTACTCAGGTAACCGGTTTGTACTTTGTGTTTGTTCAATTTTTGCTGTAACGATTCATCCTTTTTCCTTTAGCAATTGCCTAATTTGTGAATGGAGAGGGTAATATTGTGAAGCAACAGATCAAAGGTAGTATTCCAAGAAAGAGAGAGATGTAACATCTGTTATAATTTGAAATACAGATCAATGGTAGTTCCAAACTCAACCATGCTAAATTTAGTTTCACAGATCTGCATGGGGATGTTCGAGAACCAACTCAAACTATAATTAAAGACACTTCAAATTAAAGTATCAAATAATTAAGAATTTCTTATCAAAGAAAAATAATTCCGAGCAAATCTATACGCCAGTACCACAAGATCTTGAGAATATAAACAAATCGCAACAACAACAACAACAACAATTAATTAGAGAAAAGCAAGCAATCTAATGATTATCAGTTGGAGTGGTACTACTTTTCTCATCAGCTTTTGTGCTCTGCGACGCAGGGTTAATGTGAGGCATCGAGCTGAGTGGCAATACATCTGGCATGCCATAAAGAACTCCTTCACCGATAGCATCGAACAAGAAATCAAAGTCTGTAAGTGGCTCATTGAGCCAATACTGATCCATTGTATCAACTGAAATTATGCTAGATGGATAGCCGTTATTGTTGAGTTGTGATGCATTGTTGTACATTGGCACAGATTGATCTCCAAAACCATATTGAGTGGACTGATTGTAGTACGTTGTGATTCCATTGAATGCATGAGCATCTTGATTGTTGACATCCGTGCTATGAACCAAAGGAATTGGCTGCATTTGTTGACCAGGCAAGTGTAACATTGGAGCTAAATGTCTCACCTGATCTTGATGAGCTCCATAGCCATTAGTTGACCCCAATGGTGACATCAATCCGTTGTTCAATGCATAATCACTGTGATTATTATTGATCATGTTGTAATGTCCCGCTTGATAAGAAGTCGAAGGCCCATCATGGTTCATGTTATTCCTAGGTGGCGATAGAGGTTTATGAAGCAATGGATGGTCTTGACTTTCTTGACCTTGCAATACCAGAGCTGATGATGAATTTATCTCCTCTTCATCATCGTCAGAAACACTCCCATTTTTTCTGTTCTTCTTGCTTTTCTTGTGCTCATAGATCTTGCATAGAACCCACTTATCCAACTGCAAGCACACAATTAAGAAAAAAACCCATGTTAGAAACGCACGAGTACAATAATCTCGCAGGTCTCACAGTAAAGGTGATTGATTAGTCAAGAAAAATAAAATTTGAGGAATGGTACTTATCTAATAGCTTCAAATCTAATATGTTGTTAAGAAATATGAATAAAAAAACTCAATTTTCATCTAAGTAACATGTAGATGTTGTGTGGCGGATCAAAATTTCTTACCCCAACGATAGTACATTTAACTGAAGTCAAGTTCTACTTGGAATATGAAGGATTATACTTTTTTTTTTATATTTTTTTTTATCAAAAACTGTCTTTTATATTTTACCAATCCATCAGTTTGGTCATTCAGGTTTCAAAGTTCAAATGCATTAATTTAGTCATCTATATATTGACTTAGTCATCAATTTCGTCATTGTTGTTAGATTCAGTTAAAAATGACATGAGATTGGCTCCTTTGGGTTTTGTTTCCTCCTACTAATCAATTCACCATGATAATAAACATCCATTTGAACTAAACTGAAATGAAATGGCATGAAATTGTTTTTTCAAATAAGAGTGGATGGAATTTTTTTCTTTTCTTTTGAGTTCACACATTTTTAGGGGAATCTAACGGCAAAGACGAAATTGATGACCAAGCCAATAGATGAAGGACTAAGTTGATGAGTTTAAAAGACCAGACTTATGAGTTGATAATACACAAACGACCATTGGGATAACTCCCCAAGGATTATATGAGAGGAAATGAAAATATGGGAGTACATACCTTGGTGTCACAATGACCTGCTGGAGCTGGCCTATTTGATGGCTTGTATTGTCTAATCGTGTATTCTTGCATAATCCAATCAGTCTTTGTTCCCTTCTTTTGTGTTCCTAGAAAAAAGACCAATGTGTTCTTGTACCCAATAGTTTTGCCCCTTTCTTTGATATTTTTATTCCCACCAGTTGCTTTCCAAAACCCATCAGCAGCTGTACGGCTGGGACGACAACCATTTGGGTACTTTTTGTCCCTTGGGGTAAAGAAGTACATTTCAGGGTCTTCTGGTAATTGATACTTTTCTGCATGGCAACAACAAATCAAGAAGCGCATAAATTAGTATAAACTATATACACTGTAATTACCATTAAAAAAAAAAACTGGAGATATATAGATGGAGAAATTATGAATAAGAATTACTAGTAATTCTAAAAACTAAATAATGAAAAAAAAAAAAATCTCAAAACCAGATGTATATTTTCGCCTGCATGAAAATTTTTCACACTTAAAAGAATATATTAAGGTTTAGGGTTTAATTAATCTCAACAACATTTATACCCTAATGAATCTCATAAAAAACCCTGCTAAATGATTTATATCTATTAATTTTACATTAACCTTGTAATTTGCTACTCACATGCATGGGACTTACATGGCACGGTATATACCACCATTGTGTCTTGCCGATGATACATTGTCATGCAAAGAGACACTTATACATGTCGTTGTACCATTGACACATCATGATAGCAGTGCACCCATGCCATGTAAGTTGAGAGAGAGAGAGAGAGAGAGAGAGAGAGAGAGAGAGAGAGAGAGAGAGATAAACCTGCAAGTTTCTTGGGGTTGAAGTCATAGATATGAAGGTCAGTGATTCTGCTGTTGACGGGCTGAGGGTGGTAAATGTTATTCATGAGTTTCCTGGTCAAGTAAAAAGAAATCAACTCTTGATCAGTAGGACAAAACCTCCATCCTGGTGGAATCCCCAACACAAGACGCTCATTCCTCATCATCTGCTTCGGGTCCTCCTTATCATGTCGACCATGATGATGTTCATGTTGATAACCGTGATATTGTTGTCCTCCCTCCTGGCCATCTAAGGCTGCTGCTGCAGGAGGAGCACTGTGACTGTAAGTAGGGTTAGTACTAGTACTAGCCATAATTCACAAGTCGCTTTTAGTGTTTGATTGCTGTTATTATTCTTATTATATTAATTTTTCGTAGGAGACACCATTGATCTTATATATAGAATATATATTGGAGGAGTGACAACTCCTAATCTCCTTCGGTCTTGGAAATCCATTTAAGAAATTAATTTCATTATAGGGTTCGTATTACCAAGAAAATATTAAACATATTCATAGTTCTTATTGAACACTGTTTTTTGAAATTCTGGGCGAAGAGGATTTATACATATTATTTAATAAATCCGACGGCTATTATTAATTAGATTTATACGTGTTATATGATAAATTTAATAAAAATATATATTTATGGTCGGTTCGGTACTACTGAATATATGGTGAGGAGATCCTGACCACGTATCAAATAATCGGTATATATTCGGTATCGGTTATCGAACAATTCGGAGGTTTTTTGGTTTTGCGGTTTTCGATATTTTGTTAGGAACTTTTCGGGTCGAATTCGGAATTTCGTTACAAAAATCCCAACCCTTTAAAATAAGATTTTTCTATTTTCTTTCTGATCAAGATACCGTCTCTTGAGAATCCTAATCCTAACCCTTTTCGGACTACTATTGCTATCCTGCTCTTTTTAGGTTATTACAACCCCTATTCTTACGGCTCCGCGCGGACGGAAATGTTATTACTATGTGTATTTCATTTGGTGCATCACGAGCCCTTTTTTTTTCTTGTGAACATCACGAGCCCTTTTGCTCACCATCAAACTGCAAAATTCGATTGCAACACAGTAGAAGTGCTTATATTTGATGCATCAAGTGTGAGCCCTTTTGGTCGCCTTTTTTGGTTTGTTTTGGGTTTACTTTAACTCGTCTTCTTTTGCTGTTTAGTTTTCTAACTTAGTTATAACACTTCGAAAAATCTACGATTCTCCGGACAATGTCACAAGACTGCAAAAGAAAAAGAAGAAAAGATTTTGTGGTAGAGCGTAGGATTCATCAAAATTACAGAGAGAGAGAGAGGAGAGTTAAGTACCTTGAGAGAGAGGAGAGTTGCAGCGCGAGGAGAAAGAAGGGAACTCGGGACTTTAAAACATCAGAACCGGTTTTGCCCGACAAACTAATCCATCGGGCAAACTAAGTTGATTCGTTGGACAAAGCTTGCATGGAAATGCCACGCGGTTCAAATGTTGGCAAAAAAATAAAAAAAAATAAAAAATAAAAAAAAAGGTCAGAATGTAGTAGCTTTGCCTGACGACGTTAGGAAAACTAAGTTGGTTCGTCGGCCAAAGATTGCATAGAAATACCGCGTAGTTCAAATTTTGGCTAAAAAAATTGCTGGGAATGTAGTACCTTTGGCCGACGAATCTAATACTTTGCCCTATGAACTATTTCGTAGGGCAAACACCAAAAATTCAAAATTTCCCTAATATTATTGTTTATTTTTGAACGGTTAAAAGATCATCAAATGTAATATCAGTGTGTGGTTTTACCATCAATTAGTGTATTTGTAAAAAATCATCCAAATCGGAGCAAAAGTAGCCATTAAATCATGATGGTACATTTCTAACCATTGAAAGATTTTATCCCGTTACCTAATCCCCAAACATTTATTTTTGGTGATTTTTAGCATATATGATCCCGTACTATATTCAAACAAGTTTTACAGTTAGATATTTGAAATTAATTTCTTAGACTACATATCTCGTCAAAACGATGGATTCATCAAACACATAAGAATTTATTTTATACTTCTATTAAGTAGAACATAAGATTTTGTGGTAATCACTAGCGTAAATATTTTAAATTAATGATCGGGTGAGTTCATTGTGTTCTTTTAGGGTCAATGAGTGTATTTGTAAAAAATCATCTAAATCGGAGTTAAATAACCACTAAATCGTAAATACATTTCTAACCGTTAAAAGATTTTGTCCTATATATATATATATATTTTGTGATTTTTGGCATATGAGATCTCGTACCATATTCAAACAAGTTTAACAGCTGCATCATTGAAATTAGTTTGGTAGATTGTGTATCTCGTCAAAGCAATAGATTCATAAAACACTTAGAGTTTATTCTATACTTTTTTGTTGTAAAATAATAATCCAAATTGAAGCTAAAATAGCGTTAAATTGTGATGATACATTTTTAACCGTTGAAAGATTTCGTGCCGTTACCTAATCCTCGAAATAAAATTTGGTGATTTTTTGCATATGCAATCTTGCACTATATATACTCAAACAAGTTTGATGTTTGGATCGTTAAAATTAATTTCCTAGACTACGTATCTCATTAAAACAATAAGGGTAAATTACATTTTACCCCCTCAGGTTTGGGGTCGATTGCAACTTCTCACAACATCTTTAAAACATTTTAGTTTCATATATTTATTTATCATTTTATTTCAATTTCATATATCAATTAGAAAATCAGTTAAGTAAACCGTTATGTGATGACATGTCAAATATGAGATCCACATTTGTACTGACGTGGCTGCCAAATTTGTGCCACATGGTGACACGCCCCGATCCCGATGGTCGGGGGACATCGGGATGGCCACGTGGTAGCCGACACCCGAGGGTGACGCAAGCTATTTAATGAATGCATATGCTGAGAACATGTGAACCATGCATGTAAATTTCGTGCGAACTACGCAATGTAATATTCCAACATAAACCTTATAAAATAATATAATAATATTCAACTGCCAACAATGATAATGATAGTGATAATGCATGACATGTTCAGAGCATACATTTAATTCAGAATACAAGTGGAATGTGCTATTACAATGATGTCAAAGTCGAAGGGATGGCATGAGGTCACTGGTAGGGGAATGCCTCGTAGCTCGGATCGTAAGCCTCGTTCCTATGCCCTGAGGGGGCGCAAAACAAACATGAGTGGACCAAGTTGATATATAAGTAGTACAAACATAGTTATTCAACAAGTACTAACCCCCAAAGTTTATGAAAACTAACAACATAATATGTAATAGGTTTCTGAAACCTTAGTATGCCATAAAATGTTTCATAAAATATATATCATATCTAGTGTGCTAACTAGTGGTATTGTTGATGCACAAAACCGAATGGGTCTTGGAACAACGTAAATTCGACCGTGAATCTGCAAGAAAGTAAATAACACAAGATGTATCGTGGTTCACCCCAATGTTTGGGCTACGTCCACACTGATATTGTATTTTCTTTGAGATGCTGAAGAGATTGAGAGAGGGAGAGCAGAGGGAGCTTTTCTATCAAAGTGTGATCTTTGAGAGGGTGAGGGTGTGGCCTAAGAAATGGCATCTTCTAATTGTGAAGGTGAGGAGTCCTTTTATAGAATAAGGGTTCCTCACTTATTACATATTTGCCCATTCCTTTATTACATAATTACATTTAAGTCCCTCGAGTATTTGTACGAGATCTAAATACGGAGGCCCTAAGTATGGTATAAATAGTAGTCCCCCAAGTTTTCAGTCAAGAGAGTCTTTTGGCTGGAAACTTGAAATTCAGTCTATGTGGGGGTCGAAGTAACTAGATGTCGTCTAGAGCTTAATACTCGATATGAGGCGGCGCTCAATGTGAAATGAGGCTCAACTAGATGTAGCACATGTTGCGAGGTTGCTCAGCTTGTGGCTTATGTTGCCTTGGTTGGCTCGGCTTGTGGCGGTTGAAGGTGAGGGAGTCATTTTTTATAGAATAAGGGTTTTCTCCTTAATACATAAATGATGGGCTGGAACAGGCGGCAATGCTCTCTAATGATGGTGAGGGAGTCCCTTTTATAAACTAAGGGCTCGCTCCTCAATACATAAGTGATGAGTTAGGAGTGATGCTCGCGGCGAGGCGGCTGCTCAGCAGGCGGCGATGCTCTCTAATGATGGTGAAGGAATCCCTTTTATAAACTCAGGACTCGCTCCTCAATACATAAGTGATGGGTGGTCTCTAATGAAAGTGAGGGAGTCCCTTTTATAAAATGAGGGTTCGCTCCTCAATACATAAATAATGGGTTAAGTCCCCCAAGTATTTTTCATGAGGCCCAGTTGAGGCCCAATATATGGTACATAATGTAGTCCCCAAGTCTTCGGTTAATAGAGTCTGTTGGCTGGAGACTTCAAATTGAATCCATGTACGGGCCGAAGTGGCGGTTATTCGGAGGCGGTATTTGTATACCCTGCACTGAAGCTTTGTAGGTGAAGCTTTGCAAGTGAAGTTTTGAAGCTAGAGCTCTGTAATTGAAGCTTTTTGAAGCTAGAGCTATGTAAATGAAGCTTTTGAAGCTAATTAACATGAGTGATGCTCATGAATGTTTATGTTGATTGACATGAGTGATGCTCATGGATGTTGACATGAGTGATGCTCATGAATGTTTATGTATGATTAATATGAGTGATGCTTATGAATGTTTATGTATGATTGACATGAGTAATGCTCATGTATAATTTGAAGTACTGGGCGTACTTTTGATCACCTGGTTGGTGGTAATAGCGGCAGGCCGAATAATTTTGGAGTACTGGGCGTACTTTTGATCACCTGGTTGGTGATAATAGCGGCAGGTTGCCGAATAATTTTGGAGTACTGGGTGTACTTTTGATCTTCTGGTTGGTGCTATTTTTGGCTTATGGGCCTTCGCCTTCTACAACATGCCAGCTCATTTATTTTGGGCTTTGCCCTTTTTTTTTAATTTTTTTAATTTTTTTTACCCTCTGATGGAGTTTTATACAGATGTCTCCGAAAAAATAAGAAAAATAAATTACATTATTCAAAAATAAATAAAGCAGTCGTTGGTTCTTTAGAAAAATGGGAACATACATAATGAAAGTTTTCTTTTTCAAAAGTTGATGGCATATTCTGCTTTGGTGGTCGACAAAAGCAAAATATAATCCTAGCTTTTCCTTTCTGTATTCCCTTTTTCTTTTTCTGCTGTCTGAACATCAGCTGGTGTACTCCATTTGTAAAACCCCATCAGAGTACTTTTCTTTCTGCTTTTCTACTTTTGCCTTCGGTCAGTTCAACCAAAAGCAAA